AACAGCAGCCTGAACATCCGAACAGAGAGAGAGCTGGTTGGTCCTGGGAGAGGAAATCCCAGCCCGGAGGCCCTCAGCCGCCCGCCTCCCGCTGCGGGCTGCGTCTTCCGAAGACCCATCTGTGGCAATCATAATAAGAATCATAATGATATTTCTTCAGCGCTTAATGTCTCCACACAGCCTGCAGAAACCCATTTCAAGGCAGTCATGCGCTCTCGGCTCATTACAAGCCGCTCCGAGCGCTGCTGCCTGCGCAGCCTCGGAGGCTCGGCGATGCTCAGCCGCTCGTTCGCTAGGTCTCCATCCCAGCGCTGCCACAACCATCAGCCGGCGGCTGCCAGGCTTCCTGGCGCTCCAGACGCTTTGCCCCTTCATCTGGAATGGGCCTCCTCGGCGCTATTTGGCAAAAGGATTTCCGTTACCACGGAGGAGAGTGAAGCCGGAGACAGGCAGACAGACAGAAGACGGTCTGGCACACTGAGGAGGGACCGAGGCCCTCACGCGGGTCTTCTTCACTCCGGCCTGTCGGAGAGCCTTGGGGCACCGGTCTCCCTCCGGCTCCTGCCCCATCTTGCTCTTTACAGCAGTCTTCTTCTCTGAGGAGGAAGAGAAGCAGGGAACGGTGACCTGCCTATTCCCGCGGCAGCCTCGGCAGGTTTTAGGCACAGTTGCGTTTGCCAAGAGACCGGATGGTGGAGGGCAACCTCCCCGGGCCAGGCCGAGAGGTGCGGGCTGGAGGCCAACCCTGCCCAAGGGAGGGGCCCCTTTGACTTCAAGGAGGGCGAGGACGGGGCTCCACGGGGACCGCTCACCCCTCCCGCTTGGCCCTGTCCTTATCGCTGGGGTGCAGCTGCCAAGCGACTTGGCGTGAAGCGTATCCGCTGCCACCTGCCACTGCCCTCCTTCAAAGGGCACCTTCTGTAACCTCCCCTGGCGGGAGCCGCAGAAAAAAAAACCGGGCCAAAGCAGCAGCCTCTCCCTGCCTCTTCTCCTGGCTCGCCTTCCCCAACCTCCCATCCACGGGTGAAATACAAGCGGGCATAAAACCGCCAACACGTTTCCCCTGGGAATGCGTGTCAGCTTTACGAGCCCCGAGTGCGGGGAGAGTGCAACGTCGCCGTTGTACAAGTGCCTCTATTTACAACCGCCCTCGGCCTGCCGCAGCTTTAATTAAGATTGGGAAAAGAGAAAAATACAGATGTGCCCCTCGCGTGATGGGAAGAATGAATGCCGAGCCTCAGGGATGGCGGAGAGGCAGCTGCGGGAGAGAAAGGGGTCCTTGAGGGGGGAAAAACCTGCCCCCTCAGGACGGTGCCCCCGGGCCCTGTCCCCCAGGACCGCCAAGGGCTGAGGCATCGGCACTGAGGGACGATGCCTCCATGCGCAGGAGCAGTCTACCTGAAGTCACCTGCGGGGATGGGCGACAGAAGGGCTCCAGCCTCTCAGGCCACCCCAGCCCCACCTGCGGCTCCTTCCTCTTCAGCTTTGGCTGGGCTGTCCAGAGGCCGCTTCCCAAAAGGTGGCCTGGACTCCGGTTCCCATCCTCCAAGGCAGCAGAACCTCAGGCAGCTGGTTTTCCCTGGAGCCTCCCGCCTGCGGTGCTTGATCGCCCCCCCTCTGAGAGGGCTTTTCCTCTGGGGGAGTCCGCAGGCAGCCCCCCCCTTCCGCTCCTCCACTTTCCAAGGGCTCCGGGGGGAAAGGGAAGGGCCCCCAAGGAGACGGGGGTGCCCCGAGGAGACGGAGGGGCGGCCGCTGAAAGGGCGGCCCGATTCACAAGCCAGCCGCGTGAGTAATATTCCCAGGACAGCTTTTAGACAGAACCCTGAGTGAGTAATTTAGTGAGAACATTAAGACGGCACCGGATTACTTATTTATGGGAACTTCTTGACAGATCTGTCACTCAATAATTTATACCACTCAGCATTTAGCAGGGTCGCCAGTAAATAATTCACTTATTAAAAACGAAGGGACGCTTTATGATATCTTGAGTTACGGCCTCCCCTCTGATTCAGGTCCATAAATATGAGGAGTGACAGCCACTGCCCTGCGCCCTTCGATGGGCTTCTTGCCGATCAAGGAGAGAGATCCCCATGCTCCTTTACGCAGAGTGGAGCCCCAGAGCGGAGAACCCGGAGCTGGTGCATCTCCCGGGGCTGGGGTGGCACCTCCTGGGCACCACGGCTTTACGGAGAACGCGAACGCAGCTGGGAGCCTGAGCCCCCCCCCAAAGGGGTCCTTCGTGGGAGGTGCCCCAGCCCCACTGCTTGCACAGTTCAGAGTGGAAATCACTGGGGCGCAAGGTGGGTGCCGCTGGAAGGCATGGGAGGTCCCAGCCAGATGGCTACAGAGATGCCCACCAACCCAAGCCGTGTTTCTAGCCCAGGAAAGGAGCTGGCTCTCCAAAGGGGCAAAACACTCGTCTGATTCTGCAGGAAGACCAGCCTTTGCAATACTTCAAACCGTGGCCCCTGTCTCCGTGGCACATGGGGACCCTGGTCCTTGGGGGGTCCCTTCTGGCTCCCCAGGGGGGTATAAGGGGATAATTCACCATCAGATACGTCCTGTTCTCCCCCACTTCATGCTTCGTTCATTTCTTCCCCCCGCACCGCCGCCCCCCGAAATCTTCTCCTCTTCACTAAATTCCAAAATGGGTTTATCATCTCCCAGTCTCACTGTGACCAAACTGATCAGTCCTTCACGCAGCTGGAGAAGCAGCAGGCGAGGAAGCACAGATTAAAAGAGGAAGACATTTCGGACCTTGCTAAGCCGCTCCCGCTGCCCCACAGGCTTTGCTGCTTCCCCAGCGCACAGGGAGGGGCTTTTTCCAGCTCACCCAAGCCGCTCGCCCAAGGCGCTCTTTCAGGGGCTTGAGGTGGAACTGAGCAGCTGAAGAACTCCCCTGGGGCTTGCTCAGGCCCGAAATCCTTGTCCACGCCTCTGGGAGCCACGAAGGGAGAGAAAAACCACCCCAGTTTCCATCACGCTGGTAAAGAAGGCTCTACATCAGGGTTCCTCAACCGTGGCAACTTTAAGACAGGTGGACTTCAACTCCCAGAACTCCCCAGGTTGAGGAACCCTGCTCACCGTGCCGCTTCTCCTTTTGGGAAGACTGGGTGGGTCTGCACACAGCCCCCCAGCCCAGCAGCCCCACTTTCCCTCTGGGATCCCGGATGAGCCCATCTGGCGGGCAGGAGGCTCGTGACCTGGAAGGGTGCAACGGGAGGAGGCGCTTCTGGGGGGCACCGAGTTCAGCAACACACCCCGAAGCTCGATGAGAGCGGAGCAGAAGAGGGGGGTATTAGCGGAAGGCATTGCTCCCCAAAGATGTGGCGCATCTTGGCAGACCAGACCATAGGAGAGGGCGGGGTCTGTGGGAGAGATGGGCCTGGAGACCCCGTCCAGTGGGGCTGCCCACGGCTGCTGCATCAGGCCCATTCCAAACATAAAAGCTCAGAATAGAGCAGAAGGAGTTCTTCTGAGCATGTGCAGAGCGGGAGAGAAAGCAGCCTTCACCTGAGTGCAGCCTCTCTCCCCTCCCTCCAGATCCTAGTACGCTGAGAAACGCTTCCCTTTTGCCCCCTTGGTAGGGCTGTCTTAGCCAGCACCTCTGCACACACACTTGCTTTTTTGCCTCCCAGCCACTGATGCGGATGAGGAAACAGAAGGGGGCAACAACGCGTTACAGACACACACACACACACACGTGCTGCGTCCCAGGCTGGCTCATGGAGGAAACTTCCCACAACACCCACACACGCTCGCTCGCTGGCTGCCAGCAGGCTGCAGCTCCAGGCATAAATATTAAATGCCTGGAGTGGTTTTGGACCTCGGAGCTGGCACGCGGATGAAAACAACATCTCTTTTCCACTTGGAGCGTTCCGTGTCTGATTTCCGTCCACGAGCAGCTGGCTTGAACAGCCAAAGGGGCTGGCTCAGCCGGGTTGGGGGGGGCACCCGGAGCCAAGTGACAGGCGGCCCAGCACCTTCTCCAGCAAGCAGAAGGGTCAGGCTCGGCCTGGAGGAAGCGCTCTGTGGCACCAGCCAAACTCTTTGACCTGTTCCCAGCCGTCCTCGTCGCCCAAGACGACGAGGATAGAGCTGGTCGGTCATTGCGACCGAAACACCTCTTGCAGGTGATAAGGAGTAACTTTCCAGAGTATTTCATCCGTGTGGGGGCCCCGAGGCTGCAATCCAGCTGCAACCAGGTTAACAGAAGGCAACCGTGAAGACGAGGCGCATGAAAATGGCTTGAAGGAGCCGGGATCAGTCTACCTCGGAGACGACGGGGACGTTGGGTGGGACCACAGCTGGTGGCTCAAGTTATAGCGGATGCTGTCAGATGAACACCCACCCGCAGCCATCTTGGCTCTCCCCCGCCCCCGAGTTTTGCAAAGCGGAAAGGAGGAGAGAAGATGCTGGCTGATCATTCCTTGGAAGTTCTGAAACAGCCTCGCCCTCGGGGCCCTTCTTCTGCCCAGCTGAAAAGAGGAAGCGGTGGCAACCTCAGCATCGCTGCATCATCAGTGTTCCTCTGGGCCACCTCCTGATGCAAACTCTGCTTAACCTGATGGCTGAACTGCCCACCAGGCTGTGAGCACCCAACACACTAAGCCACACAGTAACCATGGTTCACACTAAGACTGGGCTGGAGTCCCGATATCCCTGGCCATGAATTTGGTTTGCCTTCCTGGGCTGCGCGAAGCAAATCAAGGCTGCACGAGAGGGGGCTTAGCACCACGCACGAATCCGGTTTCTCCGAGCGCCTGGGCTCAGCTTCTGTCAGGGTCTGGGCCATCTATCAGCCTCCGGTGGGGCAGAATTGGAGCAACCCTAAAGGTTCCCTCCTCGGTGAAGCTGGAGGCCCAGACGGGGACGGGACGTCCTTGGAAGACCTGGGGGCTTTCTCCTGCCTCGTCCCCCAGGCTTTCTCAGGGACGGGGCTTTCAGGGAGACCCATCTTCGTCTGATGCTTCTCCCAAGAGGACCAACACAGAAAAGGCTCGCCATGTCTGTCTTTTAATGAGTAGCAACAGGAAGTGCCCAGACCTGAAGCACCTTACGTGCAAACCTCATCCCAGACCCGAAGCCGCTTTTTAAAAAGCACAGCTCACGACCGCCATCTGCCGGATAGGTTGCCCCGTCCCTGAAGTACTGGCCCTGCGGGCGCCGGCTCTGCCAGCCGGCTCCTGCGGAGATCGCTAGGAAGCCCCTGTGTGTGGGACCCTCGGGGAGGCGGCAGGCGGGCTGGCCTTGAGGGATAGGCAAGGCCCCTTACCTAAGCAGGGCGGGGGCCGAAACGTCCCTTAGACAGTGTTTGGAAGAGACCCTGATTCACTGGGATAGAAGGGGGGGAGGTAAAGTACAACCAAGTAGCCCATCTCAATAAAACAGAGTTCTGCTCTTCCTGCGGAGCGTTGCCTGATCTGGTCCACCTCGAAGGCGGGCGCCACATTCAGCTTCCATTGGGCCTTTTCGGCTGCCCCCTTGAGGCGACTTGGCAGCCAGAGGGGGAGGCCGAAGAGACCCCTGGTGCGGGAAGCAGCCACCTGCGGTCTTCTTCAGTCACAGCAGCAGCACGGCAGCAGTCACGGCGGGCACGAGGAGCCCTCTGGCTAGGAGCGACACCAGGCCCAGCACCGATCGACCTATGGCGGAAAATGGAAGGGGGGGACGTGAACGCCTGAGCAACCCGCCCAGGGTGGCCGTGAAGAAGGATGTTGGAGGGGAGGGAGGTGGAGGCTGGTCAGAGCTGTGGGGACCTGGTGAGGGGGCCCCGAGGTGCCCCTCCCGAGGAGGGGGAGGAGGAGGAAGAGGAGGAGGCAGCTTCTACAGCTGCTCAGCCAGAGGCAGAGCTGAGTGGGACAATCAAGTCCAACCTGATGGCAAAGGGATCACTGTCAGTGCAAACACCTGGATATCAGCACTAACATGAAAAGCCACACTAACTTCACATGCCCCGTGTGACTGGCAAGGCCGAGCCGGGCACCTCACTCGCACAGGCAGACATTAAAACCAACTGTGACCAATTGGCGGCAGATTTCAGATTTGACCATCTCAGCCCGAGTCCTCCTAGCAAACGTAGCCGGTCTGCATTTTGCTTGGTGCCATAGTGCAGCGCGGCCTGGAATCAGGAGAACCACCTTCCCTGGCCTGGCATTGCCCATCACCCTTTCCCAGCGGGGCTGATGAGAACTGGAGCGCAACACATCCAGAAGATGCCACCTTGGGTAGTGATGATTCCCTTTGGTTAAGTTCCTGTCTCTCTGTTGCTGTGACTTTGAATTCGTCCCTCATTTTGCATTTAGATATTTTAGATTCCAAACTTTCTGCAAGGCCCCTTTTGATCCAGACTGCCTTGGCCCGTGTAAATGACTCTCCTTTCTCATGTCTCCCCCGCTTCACCCACATCGCCGTGTGGCAGGGTTAGCCAAATAATGACTTAAAGAACTTCAAAAAGAATTGCTGAATACCCAGTAATGAAACCAATGAATAATGCAGAGGACAACGAAAATGAAGAAAGAACATTTGCTTCTGCAAACTTCAGAAATGCAGCTATTCTAAACACAGCTGACAAATTTGCTTAGATCTCAAAAATGCTAATTGGGCACGCTGCACTAATATTTCTTACAAGGTTTGCATTTTGGGAGCTCTGAAGGGACAGCGTGGCTTCCTTGAGCCTCATTCTGGCATCGGAAGCATCTGAGGTCTCTCTTTACTCCTTGAGTAGCCAGAGCCATGGCCCAACCTGGGAACTGCCCCGCCTAGTTCGATTATGCCCACGGAATAAGTCTTTGCGGAGGCACCAAGGCCTTGCCAAGGGCCCCATTCAGTGGTGCGTGCAGATTTGAAGATTTGGGCTTCTCTGCCAAAAAAGGACCGAGGACAGCTGCGGGAGACCAAGGCAAGAGGTCTTCTCTTCTCTTGCCAGGCAAGGCTTCGCTTGGTCCGGCAGAGCTGAATCTTTATCTCTCGGCCTCGAGCAGGCAGGTGTTTCCAACTGCCAAGGCAACTGAACAGCCGTGACCAGCAGGGGGCAGGAACACCAGCTGCTGGTCTTTGTGCCAAGCTGCCAACGCTAAGGAGGGCCCCTGCGCTGCGTGCAGACCAGAGGCACAGGAAACGCAAATCTGCATTCTGGCCAAGGGTTAGAAGGGGCACTTTCAATGCCCCTGCCCCCCCCCCGGCCCGGTGATTAGCACAGAGAAACCTTTACCAGCCACAAGTGGACACCAACTGGAGGCTCAGAGAACTGCTCGGGAGGCAGAAGCCAGGCAGGACGGGGGCCCTTTCTTGGGCAGGCCCTGCATTCCTGGCTGCTTTTTACCTGGAACGGCAGAGCTCTGGATGCAAGGCTGCTCGAGAACGACATCCATGGCACTCTGGGTGGTGAGGATCTGGGCCGTGCAGGTGTAGGCCACCTTGTTGTTGGTGTGCACAATCCATTGGAGCAACGGACCCTGGGCCAGGGTGGCGCCCGTATCTCTGTCCTTCCAGGAGTAAGTCACCTTGTTCCTTGGCCCCATTCCTGCCTCGCAGAGGAGATCAATGGTGCAGGAAGAGTTGTCCAAGGAGTTCACCGTTTTGTTGATATCTGGCAGGGGAGACAGAAGGGTTGCAATTCGGGGGGGGGGGGAGGAGGGGGGGGAAGGGGAGGAAAGACCTGGAATCCTAAAGCAGGGAGGGCCCTTGAGGCCATCCAGCCCAACCCCCGAACACTTCCAGGGGAGCAGAGCTACCCCTTCGTCGAGTGCAGAATCCATTTTCTTGCTGCTCTGCAAAGTGAATCAGCTCTTGGCCCACATTCGCTGGCATAAGTCAGACCAACTTCTGCCTTTCTCGCAGAACCTCGTCAATAAGTGACTGAGGAACTGAAAATTCCTTGAAAAAAAGAGAAAACCCTGAGTAGGGAAAGTGCTGTTCAAAGCATTAATGAGGGCAAGACTTTTGCTGGAGAGGTCATCTGGCCAAGCCAAGCGGTCTGAAAGTCAGACCATCCAAGGCTCGTCTTTAAATACATCCCCTAGCTCAGCCTGAACTAGTGTGACCGCCCCCCCAGCCTCATATCTCCGGTTAATGTATTAACAGTCCAGAAAATGGGACAGAAACAGGGGCTGGATACAAACAAGCAGATGAGGAACTCAGAGGGACTCGATTTCCTTGAGATCAGCTTAGTCTGTCCCTTTTCCTACTTTACTGTACCTAGAAAACTGCTTCGCCCCAGTCCAAATTCCTCCTACTCCTCTAACCCCAACTCCCCCTGCCCGGCAACCTGAACAGCGGGACCGTCTATGCAATCCCCGGCAACACAGCTTGGCTATTTATCCACGCGCAGGGAGATTCCTTACTGAATACGGCCACCGTGAAGCTGCCAAGGGTCTTTTCGGAGGACTGCATGTTCGTGGAGATTTCGTAGGTGCCCCCGTCGTCCAGGCTGACCCGGGCAATTTTGAAGGCGAGCTTGTCTTCCAGGAAGGCCACTCGGCCGGCATAGAGCATGCTCACGACTGTGAGGACTTTGCTGGACAGCCATATCGCGATCCCTTCTCCTCTCGAGGCGGACCTCAGGAGGAGGTTGTTGACGCTGGCCCCCTTGGGGACGGTCACGGGCAACGTGATGGAGCCTCCCACGGGAATGGCCTTCCAGGCAGGGACGGGTGCCACGGCTGCCCCTGGGCACACGGGAGAGAGAGCACAGGGCGCTCGTCAGGACCGCAGACCCTGACTCTGGAGGCCTCCCCACCCACGAAGCCGTCCAAAGAGAGCTCTCCTTCGGGACCCGGAGCAGCAGGTGGCCATCTCCTGCGGTTTGTCTTCTGGGTGGAAGTGGGGATGGGAGGGGCGGCCAACCTGGGCACACCTGATTTCCCTTTTATCAACCCCCCCCACAACAGCTCCATGACACCAGCAGGTTCCTCCCCTCCTGCCTCCTTACGCCAGTCCCTCTTAGGCAGTGCTTTTCCATCCTTCGCAGCTGTGCTCCACACCCCCCCGTCAATACTGCATTGCATGCTACCGTCCTGATGCCGCCCTCTGCTGCTCAGCGCCACCAACTGCCAAGCCTCGGCCCCCTCCCGCTTCCCTTGACTTTGGCGCAAGCTTGCAGCGCGGCCCTCGACGTGCCCAGCCGACGGCACCGAGGGACTTTGGGTTTTCCTGCCGGCCAGAGAGCCATCCAGAGGGGCATCGCATTGCGCCCATCTGTGGTCTGGCAGGCACAGAAGAAGCGGAGATGGTGAAGCAGCCGTCGGAGGGGGAGGATTGAAAGGATGGGGTGCAAAGCTACAAGCAACCACTGTGTGAAAAAAAAAAGAAACAGAACATGCCAGCCTTCTGTTGTGAGTGCCCGCTTGGGTGCCAGGGCTCTGCCTCCTGTGGGTGCAGTGAATTCACTGCCCAGCTTCATAGTGGCCCCAAGGAGCCTGCCCCCTCTTACTCTTCTGACGAGACGTTTTATTGGATACCCCGCCTGTCATTTAATGACTCCCCCAGCCCAGCCCGCCCCCCCCAGTAAGCTCCCATCCTGGCCAAAGCAGCGACTCGCCCCT